GAGGACACCTGTGACACTCTTGCACCTGCAGACACCCCATCAGCTCCACCAGCAAACATAATCAACTCCCTGCCAGATACACCGTCTACCCCGCTAACCAACATTAAAGAGGAGTGAGTCTAGGAAATTGCTGGCATCAAAAATTAACTGTATAGTCTGGCTAGATGATGGATCCTCTTCTTCTACTTATCAGTATTATTATTATTATCATCATCATCATTATTATTATTATTATTATTATTATTATTATTATTATTATTATTGCAGAGTTGTGGAGGAGTATCTAAGCAGTCCCGTTCCAGTTGAAGAAATAGTCGCCAGTTTTTTCAGCTTGCTGGAAAACATCTTGAGGACAGAAGGTCCTGCCAGTACTTCAGTGGTAAGTGCTAATTTCGGCCTGCATACATGTTTAAAGTTTTGTAACATCCCTGTAGAGAATTTAACACCATAATTTAACCCCTCAGTTGGAGGAGAAAGTTCAAATATGGCAGTCATCTCCAGCAAGTTCCATTAATGCATGGTTTTCTTCAGCCTCGTGCTGGTCTGACTTGGTTGTTCAAGCCCTGCAGTTTCTTGCAGGAGAGACTAAAGGTAAGTAGCAATGGTTACTCATACTAAAACAGTATTTTTTCCTCCGTGTTGGAGTGGGAAGAAATATCCAAGTATTTACCTCTGCACTCTTCTGTTTGTAAATCAGATGGCATGATGGCACTTCCCAGTGGCTTTTCTCCATTTGTGGAATTTTCTGATGAATGTCAACAGTGGAGGTGGATAGGTAAGCACATTCAAACCCAGTAATACCTGGCCTGAAGTAGTGCTTGGTGTTGGTGGTCGTCAAAGGAGATTAACATTCACAATTTCTTTTAGGTCCCACTCAGGATACAGAGAAGGATTTGAGTGCACTGTGTCAGTTGTGGTTAGACTCCAAAGATTTCATTGTCAAGGTAAAAAACAAACAAACATATATACTACAAAAAATGTAGTGTAAAGTGTGACTTTACAGTTTGTACAATGCTGTACGTTATTTGTGTTTTATCAGTTTTATCTCTTACAATATTTAAAAGGCTTTTTATCTTCAACAGACAGAAAATGAAGAAACATTAGAGATGACCTCTCCCACACCGAGACTGTAAGCTTCAGCAATTTATGATTTTATTGCTAATTTCATGTTTTCTGCTTGTTTCTTGAATTATTGTGACATTAAAGTTATTCTTAAGAAGTGTAATACACATATATGTAAGTTGTTAATTTTTTTTGTCCCCTCTTCACACAGTTCAACTGATTATGTCGTGCGTCCCAGCACTGGAGATGAGAGACAAGTGTTTCAAGTCCAGGTTTGCTTTTGTGCTGCAACGTTTAAAGTGATCTGCACATCTGGCCTGACATACCCTCTCTGAAGTCCACATACTTTTATTCTTTTAAATTATTAGGAGCAGCAACGGTACAACCAGCCACATAAGGCTTTCACGTTTAGGATGCATGGCTTTGAATCTGTGGTGGGTCCAGTTAAAGGAGTGTTCGATAAGGAGATGTCACTAAACAAAGCCAGGGAGCACACGCTGCTGCGCTCAGACCGACCACCATACGTCACCATTCTTTCTCTGGGTTAGAGCTTCTGTTTTACGTGGATTCCATTGATGTGGGGACTCACTGCTTTAGCAGCAAAGCCATTCGTATGACTTTTGCCTCTTTTCTTTTTTTCTAGTACGGGATGCAGCAGCCAGATTACCCAATGGGGAGGGAACGAGGGCAGAGATCTGTGAACTGCTGAAAGACTCACAGTTTCTTGCTCCAGATGTCACAAGTGCACAGGCATGAAAGAGTTTTCCCTTCTTTTTTCCCCCTTCATTAAGTTTTTTCTCTTTGTCCCTTATCATTTTTCATAATTACAGAGGACTTCTTTGTTGTGTTTGATTATAAATTGACCACTTTTCAGAGACAGACACTGGCTTTAAACTTTAGCCTTTTAGTGACATTTTCCGTGAGTAAGGAGCTTTGCTTTCCATTTAGGTGAATACAGTTGTCAGCGGGGCTCTGGATAGACTTCACTATGAGAAAGACCCCTGTGTCAAGTATGACATCGGCCGCAAACTGTGGATTTACCTGCACCGCAATCGCAGCCAGGAAGAGTTTGGTAAGCCACAAAGCTTATTTCAAAAATATTTCTGGTTTATGGAGCTGCCTTAAAGAACAGTGTCTTGTTTTTACTCAACATCAGGATAACATTATCAGAAGACATTAGGAGCCTACTAAAATCTTACCCTTTCTTGCACAATATCTTACTTGGTTGGTTTGCTGGCTCTTTGCCCTGTCCACGTCTCCATGAAGTGTTACAGATTAACTCTAATTATCACCTTTATTGCACTTGTTGTCCTCGACTCAACAAACATTAACTGGTTTATTTCCTGCTTGATTCTGCTCCTGTTGTGTGCGTGAGTCATGGCACATTTAACATTAGCATCAAGCAAAATGATGCTTGATGCTAATGTTAATGATGCTTGATGCTTTATCATCTCTTTCCATCTGAGAGAAAATACATATTTCATTTGTAAAAGCCTCTTTAGCTCTGTTAGATACAGAAAATGACTTAATCACTGAGCAGTGGAGAAAAAAAACTTATTCTTTGGTTTATTTGTCCTATCCAGAGAGGATCCACCAGGCTCAAGCTGCAGCTGCAAAAGCAAGAAAAGCTCTACAGCAAAAACCAAAACCAGCAGCTAAACCTGTAAGTCCACAGGACAAAAAACAAACACCCAACAGCATTTACTGGGGGAAATAACCATTTACCAATTATTGTTTTGATTAATCTTTGTTTTTATGGTTTAGAAGTCTGGAAGCAAAGATGGAGGCAACAAAACTGGATTTTTGGAAGCAGGACAGGATATAGGTTCTAATCCCATGTCACCAATCCCAACGACACCCACTCCGAACACACCTGGAACCCCCAAATCACCCTTACCCTCCACAGTCACCACACCAACAAAAACCAGAGTCCCAGATACAATCAAAACCAGCCCAGGGTCAGTGTGCCACATGATTTTTTTTTTCTTATTTATATTGTCTAGAACATACATTTTGATTCATTTGTGCAATTTCAAATCAACTCTTGTCTGTTGCTTCTGCTCCCTCTTGTACGCCTAGTGTTCTTCTTGTGTCCCCTCCATCGTTACCCCAGCTGGGAACTATTTTGCCCACAAGTCAGGCTTGTCCACCAGCTTCACAGCCAGTTACATCCCACGCAGCTCGTATAGTGAGTCACCTGACGGCAGGTTCTCTTCCACAAGTACGAGTCGTTCCTGCTCAGCCTGGCCTGGGGTCATCGGCAGGAAGTCAGCAAGCCACACTGGTACATCAGACCCCTCACCAGATCCGGATGCCAGTGTCAGTGTCAGCTAAAGGAATTTCACAGGTACAAAAAAACAACTAGTAATTTTTAAAAGATGGGTGGATGGTTGTTGGAAATGTACAATTAATTCTGTCTGTTTGTCGTGTATGTCAACAGGCTGTGGTGTCTGTGCCTTTAAGAAGTCAACCTGCTAGCAGTCCAGTCCAGGTTCCAACTACATTGTCTGTGTCAGCTGTAACTGCCAAACCTCAATCTGGATCACCTGGTAGCCCAGCTAACAACCCTGCTTCTCCAGCTGTGCTGCAAGGAGTCACCAGCCCAAACATCAAACAGGTCGAGCATTTTCTTTTAACTGTGTATATATTTGGGTATCAACTATCTGAAGGGCCCTTTAATGAAGACGACTACAGTGCAACAGTGTCTCCGCCAGGCTGATAATCTTTGGTGAATAGTTATTAACCGTATAGGAGAGATGTTCCCTTAAATGTCAGATGCTTACAGATATACACATGAATAAACAAATTTCACTCCTTACAATCTCAGCGCAACAACTATAGTTGAAATGTAGTTTAACTGAGTTGTATACAGGAAGAGGATGGTGACAGGAAAAAAATCCTTGAAGGCCATTTACCATTTAATGATCCCATGATTTATTATTTGTATAATTATCATTATTACAATTATTATTATTTGCAGGTGTCTATCACAGGACAACTGGGAGTAAAGTCTCCGGGAGCAGGAATTCCTATCACAGCTACAAACCTTCGCATCCAAGGCAAAGATGTCCTACGCCTCCCACCATCGTCCATAACCACAGATGCTAAAGGCCAAACAGTGCTGCGGATCACCCCAGACATGATGGCAACACTTGCCAAATCCCCAGTTACGACCGTCAAGCTCACTTCTGACTTTCTGGGCTCTGCCTCCACAGGCGGCAAGAGCATATCAGCCACTCTTCACGTGACACCACCCCACCCTTCACCTTCTTCGGTGTCCAGTGCTGCATCCTGTACTGGGGAAGTACAGACCACTAAAGCAGGACACGTTGCCTCGACCTTGTTAAAGGCTGCAGGAGACACGACCATTCGTTTGATGCCCACGTTGGCCGTCACTGTGGCCGACCAAAAATCTAGGACCTTCTCCACTGTGACTTCCCCAGACAAGACTGGTGCCACAATTCGGATAATGCCGGGCTTGGGTGTAATTCCACAGAAACCAGGTCAGACCATCACAATGACCACCACCACTGGCAGTAAACCTCTCACAGCAAGTACATGTGCTAACGTAGTGACCATGCCTGCCAATGTTGTGGCCGGTGCTAAAGGGATCACAGTGGCTTCTGGAGCTTCGGGGTCACCTCTGACGCTAGGAACAGCTACAGCTACTGTGCGACAGGTCCCTACTACAGTTGTCACCACACAAACGGTTAGAGAAATATTCAGTGTTATTCAGTCAGTCATCACTATAACACACTGTTGAATCCAACAATGTTATCTAATGCATGTCTTAAGAAGGGTTTAAGTGGTTTAAGTGTGAGATTTAACCAAACAGCTTACAGTTACTGAAAAGATTATCCCAACTATGTGTAATTATCTGTTAAAACTAGAACAGTTAATGTTTTAACAGGTTGGTAATTTATTGATTTACATGGTTTCCTCAAATGAAAACCAGGAACTGATAAGCAAGGAATGCATCCACCTGTTCCTCGCTTTCTCCAAACTTGCATTCAGCAAGTCATTTCACTGCAGACTACTTTTTTTTTTCTTTAGTGCTCTATAATAGGATATTCTCAATAATGGGAATTTTGAATTTTACCTTATTTAAATGATTGCTTTAAGTGTACTGTAAAACCATCAACAACAGTGTCTCAATATGGCCCATACCATTCTGTTCTTTGAACACTGTAGGGGAAGTTACCCGCACGGATCACAGTCCCCCTGTCTGTCCTCAATCAGCCACTGAAGAGCAAGAGTGTTGTAACGACACCCATTGTGAAAGGAAGCCTGAACACAAAGTAAGGCTGCACAGATTTAGACTTTTCGCTTTCATTTTATTGGGAAGATTAATGCTCTAAGATATGTTATTTCTGCAATTTGTGTGTTTCCTTGACATTATAACAGAAGTGCACATTTTTGCAGTTGCTTGATCTATATTTATACATTTCTCTCTCCCGTGCGAGCAGTATTAGCAGCCTGGGCAGAAACATCATTCTCACCACCATGCCTGCTGGCACGAAGCTGATTGCAGGAAACAAACCTGTCAGTTTTGTCACAGCGCAACAGTTCCAACAGCTTCAGCAGCAAGGACAGGCCACACAGGTTTTTGTAGATGCTTTTCATTTTTAGCACATATAGGGATTTCATTTTATAGTTTCTGTTCAGATCAATTATCTGTTTTAGTCGGCTCAAACAAATACAGAGAATTATCTACCATCTTTTCCTCTTCAGGTTCGGATCCAGACAGTTCCAGCGCAGCAGGTTCAGCACATGGCTGCAGGCTCCCCCAAATCGGTTTCAACAGTCGTAGTCACAACAGCGCCTTCACCAAAATGTACACCTGATACTCCACCGGCTCCACAACAGTGATCTCATCCTGTCAGCCTACAATGACTCATAGCTCAAGGAGGCTATATATGTACCAGGATTGTGTTTGTTTTATCCAATATTTATCAGAGTTTTAGTTCAGTTTGCAAGTTAAAAAACATAAAAGCCAGAAACCTAATTCTTCCCTAAAAACCCTGTTGCCTTTTTCTCCAAGTTGTAAGTATTACATGAAAATTTTGGTCATTTATTAACAAAATGTTACCTCCTGAATTTGTTTCTCCACATTGTTATAAACAAAATATATCATAAGAAAATTCAGCCTGTTTATAATCTTTCCATAGAAATTCCAGGCGCAAGTTTGTGGGAAAACTGAAAAGTCTCTTGATAACCTCAAACAACAACTTGTCAGATTGTATTAAAGTGTACTAATTCAGTTTAATATAAGCAAGTTGTGATTTGTTAATAAAATATTTCAATATATTGCATTTTTTGTAAAACCAGGCGATACACAAATATGAATTGTCCTTTTTAATATTTACAAACATGATAATAGTTAATTCACATGGATTTCAATCTTATTTTCTTTAGACATGTTTTTAAAAATAGATAAAAATAGATCAACATTTGAAAAACGAAATCAAAGTGCCATAAACATGCCTTCATTCTTCATCTGACTCTTGAAGCAAAGCTTTCTGAGAGGTCAATTCAGAGGATGTGTTACGCATTCCGATCTCTATGTCTCGTCCCCTTGCTGAGAATTGCACCACAGTCCTGTTGGAACAAACAGGAAAGTGTACATGAAGATTACACAACTAACACTGTCATTGTTGCCTCCTAAAGCTAATGAATTATTAATGACTATTAATTATTAATGATAATTATTACCGAAGGACAGTAAAATCTAATCAAAAGTTCCAAATGGAGACGAGGTTTAAACGTATCAGTGCCTCTTAAACCTAAACCTTTTTCTACCAACAACCGCAAGAGGATCCATAGATGCAAGACATCACCAGCAGTCAGTGTAAAATGTTACCCACCAATAACATAAAGACAAGTAATGCAGATTAATACAGGTTTTAAGTTACCTGTATTTATCCATCTCCTTAAGGGTTAAGAACTACTAAAATAAGCTGCCACTAGCTGTTGGGTATTTATGAGAAATGTTGAATGTAAACAAAAACATGTTGCCTATATAAACATCACCTCAAAAAGCAGGTTTGGATGTCAGAATTCAAAAAAGATGGCTTTCACCAAGCTTACAAAATGTTCAGGAAGTGATTTATCATGAAGTTTACTTGTCCTTGAAACCGTCCCCGAAAATCTTTGCTTCAGCTATTCTGAAATGTCAAGTGAACTAGTGATATCCCATTGAGGCACATTATGCTCTAATGAAAAATCATTTCAGAGTAAAATATGCAGGCTAAACCCTGATCAAGTTGCATTTTACAGGGAATAATAACCCGAGTACACGTATCATAAATGCAGGTGCACATGTTGTTCTGCCATGTTGTGACAAGATTTTAATTGTACCCGTTTTGCTGAATTCCACTTGTTCTGTTTTCTAACCAAGTCTGTGCAAACTCAGTTATTACACTGATCTGGTTGTAAAATTAGTGTATGTAAAGGATGAGATACTTACAACCAAACTACAGCTGAGGTGGAAGAGACTAAAAGCAGGGCCACAGCTAAATGCCAGCAGAAGCACATTGTGACGAACATGACGTTGGCGTGCTCGGTCAAGTTCCATTCCACTCCACTTGGTGGGTAAAGTACGAATCCAATCTGAAATGACAAATGTGTGATGAAGAAGCTAACTACCTATAATCATTATTAGCAAATGAATAAAAAATGTAAGTTAACAAAAAGTTTTCACAAAGAACAGTCCACACAGATGGCACCGAACTGGCCCTGATGTGTACAGAAATTAATTAAATCTACTGCTTGTCTAGAAAATGTGATTACACTATACAAGTAAATATTTTAAAAAGTGGTGTTGGTCCTCTAAGTGGTCTTTGTTTTAGTATTCAAGTGCCATGGCGATGCAGTGTTTAGCACAACGAGAAGGTTCCTGGTTTAATCCTCCTGGGGCATTTCTGTGTATAGTTTGCTTGGTCTCCCCGCAGTCCAAAGACGTGCTTGTTAGGTTAATTGGTGATTGTAATTTGCCTGTCAGTGTTTGTGGTTGACTATCTCTATGTGATGGACTGGCAGCCTGTATAGGGTGTACCCTGTCTCTCATCCTGTGTCAGATGGCTGAACTGGACGGGTGGATAGATGTTGCTGGGTGTATAAACGAGGTGTTCTGCATCAGGCTCTCATTTGGCTAATCACCTGGTAGAACCACGAACCCTGTAGGATGAACATGCATGACCCGAACAGCTCTAAAATAATGTTGTCTCTTATGAACATCTCCAGCATGATGCTGGCTGAGCCTCCAAACACCGCCACCAGGAGCAGGGTGTGGATGTGGGCGTCCAGAAGAGGTCGACTGTGCACATGGTAGTAAAACAGAAACCCTGTGTGAAATAGAGTCAAACACAAAATATAGCTCAAATACATGTTAGCCACTAGGAATTATGGTGAAAAATATTGTGCAACTAAACCCTGGCTTTCTTACAGCTTACCTTCAACAAAAAGAGCTAACGAGAGACCAAAGCGACCCACTCCTCTTGGCACCAGTTGGAATTTTGTACTTAAAATCAGAGCTATTCCAGAAATCCCAAAGAACAGATACATTGTGCTGTGCTGCCAGTTCATCAACTTAATCCACCCGCCATCGTTGTAGAGATGAGCATGTGGCCCGTCCACCACAAACTGCTCAACCATAATACCTGTGACAGGACAGCATCAGTGAAATTAGAACAGGTGGACGCACACAACTGATGAATATATATTTACAGAAAAACTGACCAATAAAAGCAGCAAATATCTGGAACCCTCCTTCAATGTAGTCCAGTCTTTTAAAGATTGGCGGAAAAGTCTGCCGTCCTTTTGGCTGGTTTGTCCTCCAGTAGTGTTGGAGAACATATTTCACTGTTAGCCAGAAGCCATAGAGCAGGAAAAAAGAGCCAGGAATAGCGTGTCCTCCAAAGTTGGCCATTATCAGGCCTGAAAAAAGAAGAAATGTGCCTTAGTCATGTCATACATTGGAACTCAAACGTTCCAAAAAGTTAAACGTTTCTCTCATCAGTCCACACAGTAATTTCCCAAAAGCCTTGGAGATCATAAAGATGTTTCTTGGCAAATTTGAGACAAGCCTTTGTGTTCATTTTGCTTAGCAGTGGATTTTTTTCCCCTCCTGATGTCTCTTTCTTATTGCTGAATCATGAACTCTGACCTTAACTGAGGCAGGTGAGGCCTGCAGTTCTTTCCATGTTGTTCTTGCTCTTTTTGTGACCTCCTGTATGACTCATGAATGCACTCTTGGAGTAATTTTGGTAACACTGCTGGGAAGGTTAACCACTGTTCCAAGTTTACTCTATTTGTATATAATGGCTCTCACCGTGGTTCACTGGAATCCCAAAGCCTCAGAAATGGCTTTGTGACCTGTTCCAGACTGATGGATATCAATGACTCAGCTGTCTCTTTAGATTGCGTTGTTGTTTTCTGAGATCTTTTAACCTGCTTCACTTTGTTAGATAGGATCTACTCGAGCGGTTTCTTGATCTAACATGTCTCACAGGCCTGGGTGTGGCTAAAGAAATTGAAGTCAATAAATGTTGTAATTAAGGTAATTCAGGATTTCACAAGGGGAGCAATTCCTCACACAGGGCCAGGTCGGGCTGCATAGCTCCCCCCTTTTAATGAATGAAATCATCATTTTGTATTCACTCCAGTTATCTTTGACTAATATTAAAATTAGTTTGATGATCTAAAAAAAATAAGTGTGACAAATATGCAATATATTAATACACCAGGATGAATGCAAACATAGTATATACGAAATGCAGCGTTGAAAGTTCAAAGGTATTAGCTTTGAGGTTAAAGTGCAGGCTCTTAGTTCCGCTTTATTGAGATGATAAGAACCTGGCATTTAAAGGAACGAAATCAAAATAGATAGCCACATTCACAAAAGGCTTTTTCAAAGCAGCTGGCATTACATAAAAACAAATACAGTGCTGGAAACTGCTTTCTACATACAATAGGGGGAAAGCAGCGATTAATTTATAACATGTCCTGTCTGATTAGGGCGGCGCCTGCTGAGCGTGTTCTTTGGTCCGGATGACATTTGTTTTGCAAAACTGAAATTCAAATGAAAGAGGGTTTTTTTGATAGAAAACGTGCAGCCTTTCAAATCGGAAAAAACAAAACAGTATTAAAAGCTTAACAAGTAATACTTTAACGACTAACTGAAGTTACTAAGAAAATGGGAAAGCGCAATTATATTGTTTTGGCTTAAATTCTGCCGCTGACCCATTAAAGTGAAATCTAAAATCAGACGCAGTGAACATGTAACACGGGCTTTTTTCACTGCTCAAAGGGAAAACTTCTTCCCCCTGCTTTTAATGTTAGTGCTGGAGACACGGGTGTGTTTAAGATCCGCGTGTTCGGTTAGTCAGACAAGTTTTTCTTGATCAGCCCTGCCTGGCGTGATGTTACTGAACACTTTTCACACATTGTCCAACATTTCCAACACTGTCGACGTGTATGGAGGCAGATAGCTCAGAGAACAGGAAAACAGCTAAATCCAAATAATGTTTCGACACAATAAATACGCGTTTATCTAAAGTCCAGTCAGCCTATGGAACATCAGCATCTGTACCGAGGTAAATCTTCAACTGAGTACATGCTTGATAAAATCAACATACCTTAATCTCTGCGGCTAATTCCCAAATACAACAAATTAATGTCGGCAAACCGCCTTGAATGAGAGCTCCCTGCTGTTTGGAGACCTGTGCACACCTGCTCCCTGCACCTCTAACCTGCACTGACGGATCACACAGAGCCCCACCCCTAGTTTGCATAAGTTTCAGTGACCAAGTGACATCTCCCTGAGAAACGGGCAGAAAAACAGAGGCTGTTTAAAGACGGTGAGCTTTATTCGGCTATTCATTTGACAACAAAAAGATTAATACCGAGATTAATAGCGAGCAACAACCCGGTGACAACTTAAATATGCAGTTTTGTTAATATGTAAACTGTGTGCACAGTGGGAGATGCAGCAGCAGTGGCTTGTTTAAATGAACTTTGCACTCTTTTCAATAAATCTTTATTGCCATTCTTATCGTGCTGAACACACAGTCATTTGACATGTGAGGAAATCGCTACCTAAATGAAAAACGGAATGCTGTTTTAAAATAATCCTAATAAACAAAGTGTTTGTCATTGTTTAGGTGTGTGTGTGTGTGTGTGTATTTTGCACAAGAGAGTTATAGGATTTCACAGAACAATTTCTTCTCTCGAAACGGGTTCTCAGATGAAGGCACTGGAGTCACCAACGGGTCCTCTTTGGCATGAGCTTCACAGTAAGCCATCAGTTC